TGCAGTACTACTACTACTACTACTACTACTATCACACACAATTGTTGCAGTACTACTACTACTATTACTACTACCTACCACTACTTCTACGTACCACTACTACTACCACCTTCTACTACTGTATCTATTACTATTACTACTATTACTACCACTGCCACTACCACTACCACCACTCCCATTTTTACTTCTTCCTGGCCTTAATCTGGTTTAAAATATTACATAGACCTAATAAGTGTTACATACAATTACTACAACTACACCTTGTAATATAGGGTTAAATGATGCATTACAAACAGGTATTGGTATTACAGCTACAACTACTACTATTACTACTAAGCTTAATACATATTTTACATACACAGCTACCATTACAGTTACTACTACGACTACTAATGCTGCTACAACTACTAACCTTAGGATACATGTAATTTTGAATTGAACCATTTCCCCCTTTCTAATAGTAGTACCATTATTACTTAGCAGGGTAATTGTGCAGTGATGGGACCTGAGATGGGGACATGAGGAAGATTAATAAAGAGCATATTAAATTTGGATTCAGAGGTGAGGCCAAATTTAGAAGATTATTAAAGAGAGTTCAGAGATTTATTCAGGAGGGTGTTAATAATAAGAGGAGAGCTCATTTCATTGGGATTAGAAAATTAGCTGTGCCAGTTTGTGCATGTGCATGTCTCTTTAGGAAAACTGCACTGTTGTAAATACTCCTAATAAGAATACATGGATTTTTGTGAACTACTATTACAACCGACTCTGAACATAAAGAACTGACTTAGCTGGAACTACAACAGGTGAGATGATCTGTGCTTTGAAACCACAAACGTTTATTGAATCTTAATTAGTAAAAGCTCCTGACACACGATGATAAGACTAAACATTAACAGTAGAAATGGCAGATAGTATCGTTTGTTGTGAAATCGCTCTCTTGTTCTTCTGTGTGGTCCAGAGCTGACACTCCGGGGAGGGTTAAAGACCAGACTCCCCCTCACAGCTCCACAACAACACAGCGACCATTTGTAAAAACACTTTGTGAAGCGTTTAGAGAGTGGACAGAGCCAGATTTCCCACTGGAGCGATGAGCGCGGGGTCAGGCGGGAGAGCAGGGAAAGCCAAGTCAAAGTCCAGCAAATAACAGCAGGGTTTAAAGGGCCCGTATCTTCTGATCTCTGTTATAACGTTGTTTCGTCATCGCAAACATACCTGAAGTTGTGCTTACTTTCATTTATTCATGTTTATGTGTACACGCTGCATATTTAGGCTGCAGGTTACAACTACCACTATTAACAAAAAGTTATAAGTGTTACTTCTATTACATTAAAAAGTCCTATATTACGTAAAATTGACCCTTGTGAGCTTTAATCCATGTTGTTATGTTTTCCATCTCCAAAAACTGCTGCCATCAACATTCTTTGGGGGTGTGATGCTAACTAGAGGCACTGCTCTATCTGAGAATTTATTAGACTTGCTTTATTTTAAAACAGTCTGATCATCACTTTTGGGCAAGTTATTTCAAAACTGTAATTTGTTATTTATGACTTGTTATTGTCATTTCAAAGTAATTAGTTACATTACAATATTACTAATAATGCATTTAAAATGTAAGGCATTACATTACTATTGCATTACTTTTAAGTTACTCTCACCAAAATAACTGTGAAGATGCTGAACTTTTGCGCCGTATATGGACTGAACCTGGACTAAACCAGGACTAAACCGAAACTGAACCAGAACGGAACCAGAACTGATAGTGATAAAACTAGGTCTAAACCAAGGACTGAACCGAGGACTAAACCAGGACTAAACTCTGATTAAACCAGAGCTGAACCAGGACTGAACCAGATCGGGTTGGAGTTCTGCACCAGTGCTTTAGCTCGTGGTCACCCGACAAGTTTACTCCGGCATTTCACCGCTGCTGATATCGTGGTAATTTTAGCGAATTTGTATGACGAAAAACCCACCACTTCAATCCAGGATAAAAAAAGCATTGTAACATGTGTTACTGATATTTGTACTAAGTAAAATATATTTATTATTAATATTTTTCCCTGTAATGCCTTACATTACTGCATTACAGCTAAAAAGCAATGGATTACAGTATTTTTTTACTTTTACAACGCGTTACTCCCAGCACTGCTGATCATAAAGAACTGACTTACAGATGAGATGATCTGTGCTGTTAAACAAGTCTCTCACACTATGAAATGACTGTCACAAGGTAGCCAGAATTTGTCAGTATCTTGTCTCATGATTATCTCTGTTATAACATCGTTTCCTCATCACAAACATACCTGAAGCAGTGTTTTGTTTCATTTATGCATGTTTATGTGAACACGCTGCATATTTAGGCTGGGTTTCATTTTGTGATGTGGTAATGCAGATCTCAATTTCACTATTGGTCATTTTACATAGCGAAAAATCCCGCACACCATCTTACTTGCAAATTGTGCAAGCTGGCAAGTATTCACCTGATGAAGGCCTAGTGCCGAAACGTTGTTTATGTCCTAATAAATTTCAGAATTTGCAAGTAAGCCGGTGAGCAGGATGTTCTTGGGCTGCTCCCTCTCCTCCTCTGCACCCGTTTCAAGAAATCGATGTGTGAAGTTCTCATTCATTTACTGTATATACTGATCATTTTGAATTACTTAATACTGCATTAAGATTTTTATAGCGCTTTTTTTGGACAGACTTTACAGAGTGACGGAAGTGAGGCTGCCAATGTGCACCAGTGGCCCCTCCGACCTAGCCTAATTCATCAGACTGTTTCACTTCGTAGAAACCATCTGACCTCGTGTTAGGATTCGTTCACTCGACGGTAGGTAGGTGCGTTTTTTCATTTAACCAATCGCTGCTATTTGGTCATGACCTACGTAATGCGGCACTAATGGGGCTAACTGGTATATTAAGGTTTTCCCAAATCCTGTAGGAAGAAGGGCAAGAATGTCCTTCGAAGAGTCGGCGTCAGAGCACATCTACTGGAGGAGCGTGGGTCACCAGCAGGGGGGGCACTGCCATTTGAGAAATATTTTAAAGTGGTGGAGTCATACAAAGCAGAAATGCTATCAAACACGTTTTTCTTTAACAGTATTAGGCTAATTATGTGTTGTTATTATTTTTATCATTATTTTATTAAAATTATTATTATCAGCTGCAATAGTTGTTGAGGCTGTATGGTAGACGATACGCACACAAGCCAATAATAAAAGGTTGAGGTTTATTAAAAAACAATAAGGCCTGCCACTGGTTGTAAACATTAAACAACAGCCTCTCGTCAAAAACACCCCTGAACAACATCACTGAAAGAAGCAATCGGGCAAGAAAGAGCCACGCATCAGGCAGCACCAGGGCTGTAGTGAGCGTGGTACGCGAGGGTAACGCCGTCCAGTACTGCCGTATAGAGACCTGAGACTTGAGGGACCGGGACTAAACCAGGACTAAAACAGGACCAGTGGCAGCTGGTGGTATAATTTTTGGGAGGGGCACCAAGGCCAAAATTATAAATATATATTATGAATAATATATGTATTATATATATATAAGCTGTAGTATTATAACAAATACCAGAAACAGACATTTTGGTTAGTATTGGCTGAACAATATCGATCAGAGCACAATGAACAGCCAAGCGCAAACTTTACGCAACAACACAACGTAACACGCCGCTCTAACGCAGACACAACAACGTCAGTAAAACTACAATAAGAGGCTACGATCACAACATGAACACAGATGCCGCTCCTACAGCACACGACAGAACAACCAGAGCAGCTCCATCGCACCCACCAGCTCATTTACGCACTATTTAACTATAACACTATTTAAATAGTGTTAATAGTTAACTATTAACACTATAACACTATTTAACTATTAACACTATAACACTATTTACCTGTGAGGCTTCATGTTCAGATTTGCTGCAAACTAATGAAAACCAGCCTCTTACCTTCTCCAGAGACTGAAGCAGAGTGTTTCCTCTGTCCACTGTCCCACTGGTTCTGTCTCCAAAAGTCCATTATCGTATTGTCCAATATGAAGAGATGAAACTGGTCCGTGACGTGAGCTCCAGGAGCCGAGTGCACAAGATGGCTGTAAAAATGAGTCTTAATCCCACTTCCCACTTCAATCTGAAAGTTACGTCAGTCCATATCAGCACCAGGACACCAGGTAGATTTATGCCTCTGCGCGCTCTGCGCAGGTCAAGCGTTTACACCCAGAAACGAGCGGGCAAAGGCGGGTAGAGCAGCGAGTGGCCCCGGCGGCGGCCGCGAGAGCCCAGGCCCGGTGGCAACTGCCCCAGTGCCGGCAGAGACTGTCCCGAGTCCGGGCGGCGACAGTCCCGGGTCCCGGCGGCGGGTCTGTCAGTGTGTCTTTGACTCTGTTCTCGCCATTTCCTGTGTGGAGCTTTAGGCTAAAGTAGCAGCTGCCGCTAATCGTGAAGCAGCTACGAGTTGACGCAGCAGGTTGACGTGAGTGACAGGACAGTTGTCCAATCACACTACACTAAATAAACAGAGACTGTGATATCGTAAAGTTTGTGCCCTCAGCCCGAAGTGAAATGCGCCAATCAAAATCATTTTTAAATAGTAATAATAACGGCCTGTGCTGGGGGGTGGGGCACCAGTGGCCGCTAGGGGGGCACGGCCCTCCAATGCCCCACCTTGCCGCCGACACCGCGGATAAGATTACACTTTAGGTTAAGTTAAAGTTTCTTGTTCCTAAACCCGGTGAACGTGAGAGACACGTCCGTGCGTCGGCGCCATAGCAACGTACAGGCGCGGGGACTATATAAAGCGCTGCATCTTTTAAATCGGTCTGTTTTCACTTGAACGCTCGAGTGAGAGATTTCACGCAACATCGCTGCTGCTGGTAAAATACACTTTGAGATTCCTTAATACCAATATTTCTAGAAAAAAACTACACTCTGGGCATCAGCACACTTTCTAATCCTACTTTGTTAACTCTTTTCAAGGTTTGCAACTTAACTCAACTTAACCATGGCTCGCCCTGTTGCCCGCCTGGACCTCTTCCCTGGAGGTAAGACAGATCACTGAAATATTCGTGAATATAGATAAAATGAACTAAATGCTACATGTTGTCAACCATTTTATCCACGCATGGCTATTTCTACTCGGGTTAGGGTAAAATGGTATCATAGGTCGAATATGAAACTACTTCATTTGAGAGGTTATGACTTTCAATCGACGATTACTTACTGTGATTGTAATAATAACTGGTAAAAGGGGCCTATTTTTCTTGGTATGGGTACAAAGTAAAAAGTTATCAAAGTATTTTCTGGAAAACTGCCGCCGTTGTTATGGGCCGCCGTTGTTTGCACACGGTGATTACACTTACACCTAAGTCATGTACATTTCAACTCATCTTTATGAATATGCGTATGAATATTCGACAGTTGTATTATGCTATCAAACAGGCCTCCGACTAAAGGTAGCACATATCGACAGGCCAATTTAGCCATTGAATAATGCTCCCCCTGTAGAATCACCATTATTTACTTGTTTGTATGAATATGGGTCGAGGTAGCTTATCTGGACAGTCCTACTATCTTCTCCCAAATACTGCATCCACTAGAGATAGCATAACTGACCTTTGTGATCCTGGGGACAATAAAGATGTGACAATTCTATGCAACTGAGTTTTATTTATTCAGCAGCTTTCTAAACAAATTTACAATGTTTTCTACACATGGAAGCAAAATAAAATAGATGGAATGAAAATGATGACGATAAAATCAAATATTAAATCCAAACTATTCAATCATCTAACATAGGTATTCTGCCGCAAACCTTCTGCCTCGGGTAGCTCAAATCGATGGACATTTAAACTGTAATAGCGCTTGGAGGTTGACAGGACAGTTTAGTTTGTAGGTGTCGAAATTCAGTGTTTTAGATCATTTGTGGAAAAAATAAATAAAAAAATGGCACCCAGCCAAAGATTCTACACTAGAATATTTACAGAGATGTACATTTTATATTGAAAGAGATCATGTTATGAGGTTTTGGTTGAGTTTTACTTGAGTTTTAGGGATGAATGGGATTACTGAGGTGCACTGCACACTGGCAGATGCACTGTGGACTTGTGCAAAGGAAGCCAGACAGACCTCTTTGTCTAGAGTCTTGTACAAAAACTGTAGGCCTGTATTTATACCTAAAACCTTGCTGGTAAGTCTGTAATTCAGGACGTGAGCCAAGGAAAAAGTAGTTATAGGCTAATATATTGCACTCACCAGCAGCTCTGGTCTTTCCCTGTTTTTACAATTCTGTAGAATGACTTGTGTGTAAAAATTTGTCTGGCTTTGTATGGAACAACTTGTTAATGTTGTAAAATGTTGCAGTGACTCTGGATCCGCGGGACGCTCCGGGGGACCCTCCTGCTGCCGGCTCCTCGCCAGGCGAGGACGACGCAGGTGAGGTGCAGGTAAGTATGCCTTTTGTTCTTGCTCGTTTCTCCCCTCCTCAGCGACAGGACGTGTTTGAACGAGAGGAAGAGGAGGAAGAGGAGGAGGACAGTGAAGAGGAAGAGGACGATGTTGAGGAAGAGGACTGGAGTGAAGAAGAGGAGGAGGAGGAGGATGACGTAGACTCTGGCTACTCAAGTCTCCCAGAGGAAGACAGTGATGAAGATGAAGAGGGAGAAGATGCTGCTCAAGCTCGGAATGTGAGAGATCGTCCCCCGACCCCCTTTGCTTGGCAGCGAGCAGAGAGCCCTTCTCCTGCGCCCAGTCCCGGCGTTGAAGAGGAGCATCGCCCATCTTCTCCCGCTGCTGTGCTTCCTGCGCCCTCCTGCCATCCTGCTCCTTGCCCTCCCCCCTGTGGGCCCTGCTCTGGACGTCCTGCCTCTCGGTGGATCCAAGCGCCACAGAGATGAAGATGCGGATGAAGAGGGAGACCCCAGCTCCAAGAGGCCACGTCCTTCCTCCAGTTCCCCAGAGCCCGTCCCCTCCACATCTTCTGGGACGTCTGCAGGTTTGTCATGGTACTTCCGCCCCCTGCCTCCATACCCTGACTCGGACGATGACTGAATTCCGTCTCTGAGACTCTGGGCTTTGTAACATCTTTTCGGCAACATTTACCACCTTTAACACCGCCGATTTCATCTCTTGTACATAGTTTTTCAATTTATTATCTCAGCTGTGTGTGAAGTAGTAGTAGTAGTAGCTTTGTGTGGCAAAATAATTTTTCATCTTTTGTGTGTTTCAAAAAAAAAAAAAAAGAAAGCAAGGAATAGTATGTAGGATTTCTAAAATCTTGAAAAGTCTTATTAGCCAAAAAAAAAAATTAAACATGATCAGTAAGTAAATAGTAATAGATAAACATAATTTAAGATACAATGTCACAGATGTCCTGCATATTACACCTCGCATTCTACTCTGGGCATAGGTGGGTTAGAGGTGAGAAGGTAGTGGGGTCGCTGGTGCGATTCCCGCTCGTTTGCTGTGTTTGTTTGCTGTGTTTGTTTGTGTGTTGAAAGGGAAGGAAAACTATGTAGGAACGTAACAGACATAGCATGAACAAATTCTCTAAATGTGCTCAACGACTAAATTCTAATTGAGAAAAAAAGTCAATCTGATGCTTATTTGTAGTTTCCTGTATAGTACACCTTGCCTTGAATTTACTTTGAGCTGGTTCCACTCTGGTCATAGGAGGGTTAACTAACTCATTTAATATTATTTTTAAAATACCTAAAAAAATATAAAATTAAATAAAATAAAAAAAAAAACTTAAAATCAATTTAAATATACTTACAATGAAAGCCCTCACTGGAGGAAACATTTCCCTGTCTTCATTAGGAGATTTTTGTTTTTGTTTGCTCATTCAGCAGTTAGTTGTCAGTCAGTCAGTTTCTCTTTTTTTGTGGTTTTGTTTTTTTTATTTTTCATAATTTGTAAGACGTGGAGACCTAGATTTGTTCACTAACTTGTCGGTTGGTGGGACACTCCCTAATTCTCCCGTTCGAGTTGTTGTTTTATGACTACATTGTACTACAAGTAGTACACAAATGAACAAATGTGTACTATATTGTAATGTTATACTCCTGTAAACAGATGTGGAGACTTGTGTTTGTCCATTCACTAGAGAATTAGTGGGACACTAAGTTTCTCTCTTTTCTCTCTCTTTTTTTTTTTCCCAGTAATTGTAATTTAAGTTTAAAATGCAGAATTAGCACAACCATGGTATTTAGAATTAAACTGTTTATAATGCATGTGTATCTACGTGGCATTATGTCTTTCTGTAAACTGTACTTTTACTTTATAATAATTTGTAATATGTGGAGGTCTGGGTTTGTTCACTAAGTTTTCGGTTGGTGGGACACTCCTTAATTCTCCCATTTAATTTGTTGTTTTCC